TGATATTGAGAAGAGATTTAATGACAGAGTAGGAAAAACACTGCGCCTTCTTCTTGGGAGGAAAGTGATGACAAATCTTGACAGCATCTTAAAAAGCAGAGACATCACCTTGCCAACAAAAGTCCGAATAGTCAAAGCTATGGTTTTTCCTGTCGTGATGTATGGAAGTGAGAGCTGGACCATAAAGAAAGCGGACCGCTGAAGAATGGATGCCTTTGAAGAGGGGAAGAAGTCTAGGAAATACCATAGAGAAAGTTGTTAGGTTAGTGTTTTTGATATTGAGACAGTGACTGGGCACGGCTAGGTTTGTCTAGTGGGCATGGGAAGAGAGGTCGCACCCCTGGCCTTGCCTCCTCCAGCTGAGCTCTGAGAGGGGCTGGTCCTCCCTTTTGATATTGAGAAGAGATTTAATGACAGAGTAGGAAAAACATTGTTAGTTAGTGACTCACTAATCTCTCTCTCATCCTCCATACACCCCCCCTTTATATCCCAGCCCCTCCCCCTTTAGCACCACCTTCCGTTCCTTCATTGGCTCCTTTTCCACTGCTCAGCTGTGACGGACAGGTGAGGGCAGGGCTGAACGCTACAATACACATAGGGGGAGGCTGATAAGCAGAGTAAACAGCTTAAGAGAAGACATGAAGGCAAAGGAGGAAAAATACCATTAGTCAGGGCAAGGCATTCTTTGCAGACACCTGTTCTTGGATGTCATAAGAAGGCAGCAAATGGTTATTTAGTTTATCACTGTATTTTTTCCCTATATTGATTTGAATGGCCATAGGCATCCTATTGAATGTAGTGTTCTTGGTTCCAATGGTGGTGGGAGGATTTGCTGCTCTGCCTCAGGCAGCAAAGCTCCTTAGCTTCCAGAAAAGAAGTGACCTCTAGGGAGATGAGGTTACACAGGCATAAGGAAGAAAGAGGGAGAATGAGGAGAGAATGAAGGTGAGATATTGTAAAGAGAAGCATGCAAAGAGATATGGGTCAAAGCAGAGTCTTAAAAGATAAACAGCCAGAGTGTGAAACTGATGTGGAAAGTGACAGACAACATAGACACTTCAAATATAGGTGTGAGATTATAGGAGCAACTCGAAAGAAAATAATATTGGATGACTCACAAGAAAAAAGAGAGCTGACAGGAGGGGAGAGCAGAGATGTGAAAAGTTAGTTTTTGGACTCTGTTTACTGGAATCCTACAGCCAGCATATTCAATCAGAATCAGCCCTGCCATTAGCCTGAGTGAGGCAGTCACTTCTGAGACCAGGGTTCAGGGAGTGGCAAGGTGGCTACATCAACAATTCATGGGAGTCTCAAGGGAGCAAGGGATGGGTAGTTGCACTGCAGATTTGATAACCAAGATGGAGAAAGAGTTCAGATTATGGAAAAGTTACATATTTTGAAAACTCCCACAATTCCAATGGCCATGAAGTTTGTGGGATTTCGAAAAGTACAAACAAACCCAACAACAAAATAAAAACTAAGCTTTTACTTCATGAAAAGCAAGACAGACTGACAGACAGTGATCTGTCTGTAAAGAGATTTTCATGACTAAACTCAATTTACCATCAGCCAGAAGAACTGTGGATTGAAACCAGAGATGATGAGAAGAGTGCAAAAAGACATACCTGTAATAAAAAGAAAATAAAAACCAAGATGAAGAAGACTGAGACTTGGAAGGACAACAATGAAAAATTTAGAAAAGATAATGAAGTCTAGTCAAATCAAGCCTGAAATATATGTGGAGGAAAAAATGATGAAACTGAGGTTGTCATACCTTGGGAACATCATGAGAATGCAAGATTCTGTGGAAAAGTCAATAATGCTGGGAAATGTTGGAGGCTGCAGGAAAAGAGGAAGACCAAATATAGATATAGATTGTCTCCACAAAGAAAGCTACAGGCTTGAGTCTAAAAGAGTGGAGCCAGGCAGTTGAGGATGGGGTATTTGTCCTCATATATGAATAGCCCTGCACAGGTGGACGTAACGAGGGTCTGGTCCCCTGGGGACAGACCATCCACTCATCCGTCCACTGCTGTAGCCAGCTCCACGCTCCCTTCCTATCGCACCAGAGCTTGTGGTCGACTAGCCACTCCTGGCAGAAGGAGGGAAGATGAGCCTTCCAGCCAGGCTGATGAGTGGCTAGTGGGCGGTGAGTTCTGGAGCAATTGGAAAGGAGCCCAGGGCCCATGTCAGCAGCGGATGGGTGAGTGGACGGTCCAGCCCCAGGAGGCCAGACCCTCTTTATGTTCACCTGTATGGGGATATTCATATACAAATACCCCCAACTCTAGACAGGACATTTTGGAGATAATCATTCACAGGGTCTTCATAAGTCGGAGGTGACTTGACAACATGTAACAACAATATGAAAATTGGATCAGGAAGGTAATGATATAAGATTTTGGCCTATACTGTGGAAGCAGAATCAAATATCCTTGTGGATACAGCTTCATGAGCATGTGGCTCGTGAAGCTACAATTTCATCTGCAGAAAGAGCTAAAGCCAAGCATCCTAGCAGTGATTTGTGTGATAATACTTTATTATCAAAGATATCCAGAATTCCTCTGCAGAGTTTCAGTTGTAGATTAGATACTCCAGTTCAACTTTCTATCTGCCTTCCATGCAATTTTATTATCAAGTCTTATTGTTCCATTTCATATGGAGGACATGTGAGCCCGCTTCATTTTCTTTCTTTCACTGGTCTCCTAGTTTTCTTCTTTTATACTGTAGTTTTACTGTGAACAAGGATTCAAACTCATCTTTTTGTTGACCTCCACTGAATTTCAAACATAATAATGTTGCATGAAGAAACAGCATTCTTGGTCATATAGCAGGGCTTCTCTTCAAGTAGTTTAAATTCACACATTGTTTTTCCTTGCATGTTGCACACCCCACCTAGGGGTGGCTTGTGGGCTGAGGAGGGAGGGCTACTAACCCCTAAAACTGGAGGATGTCCCCCACTTGGTCATGAGCTGACAATGCAGAACCCCCCATGATCACTCCAGCGGTCCCGTCTTTTAGATCACTGACCTAAGCCAGGTTGGGTGACTGGTTGGATTGAGGCATGACCCCCCCCCACCAGAACTGGCTGCCCCCCCCCATTGTCCATAAAGTGCAGCCATGGACTGGTAGTTTCAGAAAAAAACTTTTTGTACAGTAAAATGAAGTATATGGGCCATACATCTTGTTGTAAAGGAGAATTATTCTGTGTATTCTCGAAGGCTTAGAATTATTCTCTTTGGAAGCTTCAAGGAATACAATTCTCTTTGTTCAGCAATTTTTTTAAAAAAATAGTGGCACTACTGAATAACAAAAAGCAAACCAACAAAAAACCAAAACAAACCAACCTAAAGAATGAAGCAGCTGGGAGCCAGGTATGGCCACTGGATATACTTCTGGCCTCAATCTAATTTATTCAAACTGGTTAGTATTTTTATCTGTTTCTTGTACAGATGTTTCTTACTGTCAAACAGAAACCTAAATTAGCTTTTTGGAATGTTTTTAGAATTCATTTTAAACTTCCAATAGCTAGTATAATCCTGTATCAAACATCCCCACCCCCAGTGGATTACATCAGCTGCAGACAACAAAGCCAACAGAAATACTCTGTATAGTTAGACTATCAGAAAATCCATAGTTAAGGACAGAGCTAATAGAAACGGGGCTTAAACAAAACGGGGCTTATACATGGATACTTTAACTTTGAATGACAGCTTAGGTATGTTATTCATTCATCTTAAATATTTCATCCTGTTGATTATGGGCAATCAGCCTTCAATATCACAAAACGCATACAAATTATGGAGCCTTCCCAAAAGAAAATACATCCATTCACTATTGTGCCAATGTTTTTTCTTGATAAAAATTATCCACCTGGATCTAGTTAGGTCGGTGCACATGTTTAGAGTGCATGTGGCTGATGTAGAGCTGGTCCTGTCATTAGGCAGAATGACTCAGGTGCCTCAGGGTGCAGACTTTGGATGCCATGGAAGAGCAGCAAATTGCTAACAATTTACTTTGTTGTTACTTTGCTTTTATTTAATTTTTGCTGGCAGAAAGGGGGAGTCTCCCATGCTGGTAACCACTTGGTTGGTTTTGGATATTCACCTTTGACATAGGTGAGTAGAGGATGCCATCTACTTCTCACAGGTTCAAACTAAATATGACACTCAGCTTACAGCTAGAAGCTGATAGCACATGTGTCTTCCATCTATGGTATTTCCCCAGACTTAAATTATGCCTGTGTTAACTTCCCAATGACCAATCATAAAACAGAGCAGGCCAATTGGCAAGATATGGAGAGCAAAACTTTTCCTAGGACAAACAGACTTTTTTTTGCATTTAAGGGAGCACTGCTTTTGAATTCAAGCTGAACAGGATCATCTAGTTTGTCCCTGACCAGGCAGCAAAACGCATTAGGTCAGCCCTAATGCATTTAGTCCTCCACCCTGTATTTGTTCTTCACTACTGATTTGTTGTTTCCTGAGAGAGCAACATTCATTTAGCTCATCAACTACATGTACACACAATTGAATCAGGTTCTGTCTGTTTTCATCTGTCAGAGAGGATGCTTCTTCAATAAAAATGGAAAAAGGAATGCTCTGTCTCTATAGAAGAAAGGAACAGCTGAATGAAGAATGGAAGCTAAAGATGAAAATGGTAACCTGAAGTTATTTCCTAGTAATTCTTGAAATTCCTGTGTTTCTTGAAATTACAACTGCCTGAAGCAAAATTCCTTTCAGATCTAAACAGTTTTTTCCTTCCCTATCTTTAGCTACTGTGTGCACATCTGTGAGACCGATTATAAAGTTCTTTTATATAGAGGTCTCTTGGGATACTAAATAGTTTACAATTATAATAGTTTAAGAAATCTCCATGTTGATGATATAAAGAATTAGTGCGCTTGTAAAATTCCACCTTAAAACTAATTGAATGCATCTGCGGCCAGTTCTTTAGTACAGAGAGGCTTGGCTAAACAGTGACACATACCATTTGGAGTTAGATGTTCCACATCTGGAATCCAAATGTTTGACGTGATATAAAAAGGCCAGCACAACAACCCAGTAGGGCGTTTTACAGCCAGAGACACCAGCAACATGGACCTCTTTCTTCTTTGCCTGTTCTTGCCATTGCTCACTGTGGCATGGGGTCAATATGGGGACTATTACCAACCCTATGCTGACTACAGGGGCGATGATGAATGGGTCAACACATACCGGCAGGGCTTTAACTTCCAATGTCCTCATGGGCAAGTGATTGTGGCTGTGAGGAGCACCTTTAGCAAAAAAGAAGGCTCTGACCGACTGTGGAACTATGCCTGCATGCCCACTCCACACAACCTGGGCGAGCCAACAGAGTGTTGGTGGGAAGAGATCAACAGAGCTGGACTACAATGGTAGGAGACCATATTTAATCTTCTCATCAGAACTGACAATGGGAAAAAAAAACCTCTTATGCATTTTCAGGCGGGGGCAATAGTTGACAGCAATGTTTGCAGCAGCCACCGAAAGGCATGTTAACGGGCTGTTGATCTGCTCAAGATGCATCATCGGACAAGGCTGCTACTGGCTCCCACTGACAAGGAAATCACTAGCACAGTCTCATTCTTCTGGTGGGCTTAATTTTGGATTTTCTTCAATTTATCTCCGTGCTTGTTTCATCTCCTCAGTTTTTGCCCAGCAGGTTCAGCAATACATGGGCTCGAGACGGACAGTAGCTGTTTTAGTAAGAATTGTTGCGCCTCATGTACACACTTGTTTCTTTTGCCTCTAGCTAAACAGATTTTAGAAGCAGTAGGAAAACATGCAGATCTGTTGGACCAGAGAATGTTGTTACAGCACAGGGGAAGGATGTACAAAAGAGATCATTGTTCTATTATATCAGCTTTAATTTTATGCAGTAGTCTTGATCTCCAGCCAACATTACAATAGTCTGAGAGGTTTGCCAGTTGCAGGAGGAGTTTCAGAATGAAGGATACTTCTTTCTATATGGACAGGAGTTTTAGGCTTCAATACTATGCCTTTTCATCTGGGAGTGAGTTCTCTTTAACTGACCATGACCTAGTTTTGTATAGGACTGTGCTGTTAAACATTCAAATCCACTGTATTAGAAGCCAGGAAAAGATATTACTTCACACTATTACTTTACAATGATCTTGTGGTAGCATAGCAAATCAACATTCTAAAAGGCAATTCTAAAAATGGGGCAACACAAACAAAAATCTGTAACTTTTAAACTGGGCTTCAGATCAGCACCATATTTGCATAAACATAGCAAATACTCTGCTCTTGCTTTGTATCACATTTGGGGAAGTTTGAACAAAGGATTTGAGTTATAATTTTGTTAATAAGAAAAACTATTTTATCTTCCCCCATTCTGTAAAAGGTGACACTAAACATCTCCAGATTTAAAACAGATCACATAAATTGAAAGATCGATCTTGCTTATCTTGAAAGAAAATGGATGGTCCCACCTTTTTTTTAATTTTGAAAGAATCCAGGTTGTAGGGGCTGAAATATTGATCTTCAAAAAAGGTCTTTCAAAAGGGCAAAACAGCCATTTTATTTTAAGTTTGAGTATGTGTAGTACAGGCTAACCAGCAGGAGCTTCATGAAATGAAGCATTGTATACATCTATAGGCAGGGGAGAATGATATTTAGAGCTGAAGGCTATAGAAACAGACTGAAAAGAAATGTTTTCTTTAAAGAGTTAAAAAAAACAGGTTTGCTTTAAAGAAATTAATAGAATGACAGTCTTCCAGAAAGAAGGGTACTTTGCCATGTATATTCAGTAAAATGTGTGTGTGTGTGTGTGTATGTATGTGTTAGCTGAGCTTTGGTGCCTATAACCTGTTACAATTTCAACCCTTCCACTCATCTTGTCACTGTACAAGTGACTTGTAATTAGGAAAAGAAAAAAAACCCAAAGATGTAGTGCACTATCAAGTCACTTCTCATGTGCAGTGACTATATGAGTTAATGACCTCTAAAATGTCCTATCCTTAACAGAACTGCTCATATTTTGTAAACCAACAACGTCTCATGTTAGGTTGTTGTCCTGTCCTACTGCCTCCCCCCTTTGTAGCAATATTGACTTTCTGCTTGGATCTTGCAACAGCTGTGGCTTCTTTTGTTGAGTCAACCCATCTCCTCCTCAATAGATACCTAGAGAACTCAAAATATAATTGAATCATGTATTAGTCTTTTCAATACACCTATTCTATCAGTCAAGAAAGCTAGAAAATCTGAAGCTCTATTACTACTCTTGCCTCCATCCCAAAGAATTTAAATATATTAATGCCAAAATGCAAAGTTAAACAAGAGGGCACAGCACCCACCTTCCCCAGGAACCTTTGTCTATTTGGCTTAAAGGTGAAAATGCCAACTGAACTCAACAAAACTTTTTCATATCTGTTACCTTTAGTCCTCGTTTTTGCTTATATCTCTTGACTTTGTCCATGGAGAATTGTTGATGGGATTTCCAGCTTCTCTGTATATCTCTTGACTTTGTCCATGGAGAATTATGTTTCTTTGGTCCAAAAGGAACTCTTGTTGATGGGATTTCCAGCTTCTCTTCTGAAAGATGTGTGTGTTTAAAATTTTAAAAGTTCTATTCTTTATTGCTTAGTAACTCTTGTTGATGGGATTTCCAGCTTCTCTTCTGAAAGATGTGTGTGTTTAAAATTTTAAAAGTTCTACTCTTTATTGCTCAGTCTATCTGTCTACACACACAAACATTTTTCATTCATTACTCCAGTCACCATCACCAGTATTTTACACAACAATGCACATATAACTGCAGAGACTAAAGCATAGAATAGAGGGCTAGACAAATCATCACAGTCAATATGCATGTAACTAAATTTACACCCCATCCCATTGCATGCACTTTAAGATTTTTATATCATTTTTTTCCACAACAAACCTGAGTGGTTAGGCTAAATGTCACTTACTCATGCTTAGGTAAGTAGTAGCACGGACAACCAAACATTAGAATCAGTGGATTTGAAACTGCTACTCAGTCCAGCTCTTTCTCTCTATTCCACCAGCCTTTCCTTGTGTTGGAGATGAGGACAAATAGTTTTGTTGGAAAATCTGCAAAAACTGTTTAACTCGATATGACAGTGGGATGCAAGAATGTGCCACCAAAAGCAATGCTTGGTCTATCCTATCACTCAAAAATCATTTTTCATCTCCTACTACATGTTTGTGAGAGGAGAAGACATTCCAGTACCCCATCATGAAAATAGAGACTGTAATGGTTTTATCTGGAAGGTTTTTAAAAACCATCTCTTGAGACAACTATCATATTCCACTCCTTGTATCCTTTTTCCTTATGGAAGGCAGACATAAGGAGAATGTGATTCTTTATTCATAATTCAAGGCTACGCAGATATTTGAGGTAATGTTCCTTCTGCGTATCTCTGGTGTTCATCCTATAAATTGAAACTGACATTCACATTAGACATTTTAACCTCGCCTTACAACGTCTTTCCCCGCCTACCACCCTTGTACCAATTTAAGATAACAACTTCCTTAACTGAGGTACTAAGTGTCAGAGATCAAGTCATTAATTCCAGCTATTATTTTATAATAGTATTACATTTCACTGCTGGAGAAAGAAAAAAGAAAATGAAACAATCTCCTTCAAAGAATCGCTTGACTTTGATAGCAGCAGCTGAATAAAACAGCATTGGTTTGTCTGCTTTGGTTTAAAAGATAGAATGCAGGGACTCGTGTGGAATAGTGCCAAGATTCATGAAGCAAAATAGCTGCTGCAAGGAACACGCTATTGTAAATAGATTTGATTTCAGTGACAGGCTTGTAAAGATAATCATCTCCTAATCTAGAGGAATGCATTACTAATGAAAGAAACTGCACTCTCTCCAGTGGCAGCTGAATCATAGAAAAGTGAAGTTGGAAGGGACCTACAAGGCCATCAAGTCCAACCCCCTGCTCAATGCAGGAATGCAATCAAAGCATAACTGCCAGGTGATTATCTAAGTTTTTCTTAAATGCCTCCAGTTGGTGGAGCACTCACCAACTCCCGAGTTAACTGGTTCCACTGCCATACTGAAGCACTGTACTGATAATTTTCTTAGTCCACTTACAGCAGGCTAACACTGAGCTTAGGAAGCTTACTTTTAAAAAAGTAGTTCATTATAGTTATATTTTCACAATTTAAGAGTAATTCTTTATATTCCCTTTTCTCACAAGCAACTAAAACAAGCTATATAGCTCAGAACTGCTGGAAAGCTCTGTGGTGGAGTTTGGTTCCCCACTGTGCCTTCTTGAGAGGGGCTGGCTTTGATGATCCATAAGGTCCCTTTCAGCTCTGCAGTTCTGAGATTATTCAAAGATTATAAGGTAAAGTTACTTTTTAAATTTTAGGGTTTTTTTTTATATTGAATGCCAGAAGCTGCTAGCAAGTGGTGTGAAACATGCATCAATAGGTTGAGCAGATGGCCACATCTTCTTCCTGTCTGTCTCCAAGGGAAGAAGGACTGTGTAAACAAGAGACAGTCTGCTACATGTGGCAACTCTCTACAAAAAAATTGGGGACCTTTCAAATCCACTTGTTCTCCTCTCTTCCCCCACAGTAGACAGTCAGCCCAAGAAACAGAACCCAAGCTACCATAAATTGTAGTAAAAGACAAGGAGAGTGAAGCACAGCTTAGAATATATATTTTCTAATGTATGTGGGGGGAATTCTGGGAACTGTAGACTATATATATAGTCTACAGTTCCCAGAATTCCCACCCCCCACATACTGGGAACAACAGTCGTTGAAAGCAACATCTTCAGACTCTGGGAGGAAGGTAGGTTGGCCTTCTCTTACACAAAAAGTAGGTGACAGTCTTTCAGAGTATATAGATGCCAGAGGATATGTTTCCCTACATAATTGTCACTACATCTCTCTAGGAGATAATCTTACATGGTCAGAAGTTTTATTAGCAGGCCCTCTGAGAGAGAGATGGAACAAGGGGATGATCTGAAATCTTCTCCACTGGTGTCAGAGTGGCCATTCAACAATTATCCAAAACAGAAGAAATGCATTACTCAAAAGAGAGACAAAGGAGGATACTTGTTTAAATACAAATTAGCATATGGACTATTAGACAAATTAGACTACAAATTAGAAGCACAGGTAGAAATGGGGTACTGGATGAATCCCAAGATGGAATTAAGATTGCCGGAAGAAATATCAACAACCTCCAATATGCACATGATACCACTCTGATGGCAGAAAGTGAGGAGGAATTAAAGAACCTCTTAATGAGGGTGAACGAGGAGAGTGCAAAAAATGGCCTGAAACTCAACATCAAAAAAACTAAGATCATGGCCACTGGTCCCATCACCTCCTGGCAAATAGAAGGGGAAGATATGAGGCAGTGACAGATTTTACTTTCTTGGGCTCCATGATCACTGCAGATAGTTACAGCAACCACGAAATTAAAAGACACATGCCTCTTGGGAGGAAAGCAATGCCAAACCTAGACAGCATCTGAAAAAGCAGAGACATCACCTTGCCAACAAATGTCTGCATAGTCAAAGTTTTGGTTTTCCAGTAGCGATGTATGGAAGCAAGAGCTGTACCATAAAGAAGGCTGACCACCGAAGAATTGATGGTTTTGAATTGTGGTGCTGGAGGAGACTCTTGAGTGTCCCCTGGACAACAAGGAGAACAAACCTATCCATTCTGAAGGAAATCAACCCTGAGTGCTCATCGGAAGGGCAGATCCTGAAGTTGGGAAAGTGTGAGGGCAAGAGGAGAAGGGGACGACAGAGGATGAGATGGCTGGACAGTGTCTGCGAAGCAACCAATGGGAATTTGACCCAACTCGGGGAGGTAGTGGAAGACAGGAGGGCCTGGAGTGCTCTGGTCCATGGGGTCACGAAGAGTCGGACATGACTTGATGACTAAACAACAACAAAAGAAATGGGTGTGTGTGTGAAAAAAGGTACTATACTTTAAGTGAAATACAACTGTTTTAGTACTCATCACAATAATTATATGCTATCAAGTGCATTCCAACTTATGGCAACCCTTCCAGAGTTTCCTAGGAATAGCGTGCTCAGGAATGTTCTGGGGTTGCTCTAGGAATCGCTCTAGGAATGTGCATCTTGCCTAAGGCTTAGCTTTCTTCTTGGGAACCACAGTGGAAATCCAGCTCTGGTGGTACCCAACTCACTGAGTTATACAGACAGCTGTTTGAATCACTGGTGAAGAATATTACCAGGAGGCCAGAGGGGCAGCTGTTCAGTCTGTTACTGTTCATTGGGTATTTTCAAGCCTCTGCTCTCCCCTTTCTTAAGTTTTTATCTTTAAACCAGTGCCTGCATATAAAGGGATGTCCTCTATGAAGCAGGACCAATAGTATGAGACAAGCAACAGGAATTAAGGAAGGCATGATGGTTGGGGAATGGCCACTCAATGTTTCCTTGTCAGGGAAGATCCTCTGTTCTGTGTATATATATCAGATTTCAAGAAGAAGAAAGCACGTACAAGTTGAATTCATAAGTTAAACACCCACCCACAACACAACAGATTGTGATTCTCAGTTTGGTTGTTTTACCTCTCTTTTTTCTCAGGTATCAAACATGTTCAAATAATGGATTGGTGGCAGGATTCCAAAGCCAGTATTTTCCATCTGTGCTAGACCGGGAGTGGCAGTTTTATTGTTGTCGTTATAGCCGAAGATGCCCGTATTCCTGTTGGTGAGTTTGCAAAAATACACTGAGGATCCATTATCGATATGAAATATTTCTGTAAGGAATGTATAGAATTCAGTGCAGAAGGAGCAATGATAACAACTGCAGCAATGATAACAACTGGGAAAGTACACAGTAGGGGCTTGCAAAGGTGATCAAAGGGAATAATCACTGTTCTGAAAAGCATATCTTTTAAAGTGAATAAAATCTATAAAAAAGCATATATGGAGCTTTCATAATCCAGTCTCCTTTTTCAAGTAATTTTTCATATTTCACTTTATTGTTTTTATTTTGGCCACTTCTGATTTCTTATTGGTCAAATACATATAAAAATGTTAGGGCTGGAATCCAGTTAATGTATTTATGCTGGTGTAACTGTATTGGCATAGCTCTGAGGAGCAAATTGCTGCAAGTTAAGGAACCATTGTAGGGATCTGCTTTTCTTATCAGGAGATGCAACAGTAAATGACCTTGTGGTCCTTAATTTGCCCCAAATTGCTGCTGAGAGTTCTCTTGTTATGTTGTCTGGTCAGCTCTAAGCCTATATGAATTATAAAAACATACCTTGGAGAGCACAGAACCTCTGTCATGATGAAACCTTCAAAACATAGTTCCTAATAAGAGGTGATGTTCTGCCCCTGGATTTAAGACAACAGTGACACCAAAGGTCTTTTAAAAGGAAGATTTTGTTGCTGTTATTTTATCCCTTACAAGCTGCCTTGAGTTCCCTGTGGGGAGAAAGGCAGGATGCAAGCAAGCAAACAAACAATGCCATTAATGAAGTAATTTATGTTTCAATACACCTACCACATCTCACATGTAGGTTATTATCTTGAAATGTTTGGTTTGGATCCCCACTTCTTCATTCAGTAGCAACCAAGGAACTCAAGAGGACATAAGCAAGCCAAGAGCAACTTAGATCTTGTTGATTTCAATGGATCTACTTTGCAAAAATCTTTGTCCAATCACATCTGCTGTATTGATACACAATTCGTAACTTACACCACAGTTTGAGTCATTTGCGATTATGTACATTTGAAACACATTTTCTCTGCATCTGGTATAATATCTCTTGCACACATTTTGCTTCTGAAACTTTTCAGTAATTACACTTGTCATTATGATTCTTATCAGTGTAGATCATAACCCCCATTTTACAGATTCAACACTGAGTTTCAGAGTTCTCAGAACAGTCAAGCCTCTACCTCATTGTATCAGGCAGAGTCTACAAGCATAGATGCTGAGCAATGCATCCCTTTGACAGTTTATAAACCCAAGGGAACTTTGTCCTCAGAATCCTGGTGATTGGGAGGTGTCCTAATTGGCCTAGGTTACCTCCGTTAAATTATTTGCATTTCCGTGCTATCCTTAAGCCATACTGAGCTTTGTTCTTGCATCTGGGACATCTTATTACACTAGAGTAATATAATCTTGGAAGGCACCCTAAGGTGCATTTACTTGGAAAGACTCTATTAATTAACTAAATTTTATGGTTCTGTGAGAAGAAGTCAGATATCCTATCAGCATTTGCCTGGAAGCAATTATATATGTATATTAAAAAGGAAATTTCAAATCCTGGAATCAATCTGATGTAGTATCTTTTTTTTAAAAAAAGATACTACATGCCCCAGAATCTTTCAGCCAGTTTGCCCAGAAGCACTGGAGATAAGAAAGATAGTGACAGCTGCAAGGTCAAAGACTGGCACAAAATGGGACAGTTGTAATTTTTCCTCAACATCTTCTTTATTTCTGACACGACGTTCCTTTCTGGAGTGCCGCTTCTAGAATCCCCCAGGAGGAAAAACTAAAAAAAATTTGGACCGAAATAGATCATGCTCATTGAAGGATTCTGGGAGTTGTAGTAACTTTTTGGAGCTTCAGAAAATTTCAGTAGAAAAAAACTGCAGTTATTTTTGTGCCATTACAAAAGAATCCCACTGCAACTACCCAGACCAATAGCAGTAGAGTGAAAAGAAGAAAACGCTCTGTCTAAAGTTTTCAAGCATAAACATATTTTCCTACAGAACTGAAATGTCTGCACAAACTGTTTCTGGGTGGTTTTCATCTCCTGATACTCAGGCTTACTGAATTCCAAAACGTTTGGCTGTTCCACAGCTGCTTTCTCTCACTGTTGCCTCCTTAGGCAATGTCCAAACAAGCCAAGGGCAGAGGTTGGAAAAGTTATTTTTTCCAATTACAGCTCTTTGAAACCTCTTGCCATTCGGGGAATTGTTATCCAAAAAAAGAGGAACGTTTCTTATCTCAGATGCCTCTTGTATAGTATCTCTCATTGCACCTCCCTTCACATATTGGAAAGTGAATAACCATAAGCCCACAACAACGATATAAAGCCCTTACATGATTTAGAATCTTCAATTATTTCTGGTTTAGAACCCTACACTGTTAGGTTGCTAAATGCACAAGGAGTCTACAGAAATGTCAAGCAGGAGAGTTAAATGACGTCAATAATTTTAAATAGTCCCAGAATGTCTGTGTCAGTTGTCCTTGTTCTTATTTGTTAAGTTGTTCAGTTATCACTAATGTTTAGAAAGTATGCTGAATGGGCTTTTAAGAAGAGGAGGGAGAAGAAATGGCTGGAGGAAGGATCTATAATTAAATCACATCTGCTGGGCACATGAAAAAGTAAACTTACTCAACAAAATAACAAAGCTGTAGAACAGGGGTGTCCAACCTTTCACCTTCCCTGGGCCACATTAGAAGATGAAAATTTGGTTTGGGC